GGGGCTTTAATTATGTCATTTATTATAAAAAAACAACTCAAGGACTTGCACCTTTTTTTTTAACATAACACAGCCAGGGGAGCTGCTGATGGCATGAACCTGCTCCTGCACCGCCTGGAGGAAAGGATGAGGCTTTTAGTCCTAAAGAAAGGAGCTTCCTGAGAATCCCAACTTCATTTTATTTTTTAAAAAGGAAGTGTGAAAACGTGGAGAACATTTTCCTGGGTAAGCTCTCACTTCCACTTCTCATTTATATTTGATTCTGGTCTTATGTTTTGTCTAAAAGGTGGCTAAAACAAGGCTGCAAAGTTCCTGTTTCCTCTGCTGTAGAGCCCCTGCAGAGGGCAGCGATCCAGCCGTGTGGGGAGAAACATCTGGTCACTATTCCCAGAGAGGGGCACAGAGCAGCTGATGTGCATCCCGGCACCTCTGAGCCTCGGGAGCTCTGGGAAAGTTCTGATCCCGGCAGTGACAGCCCCGGGCAGTCGGCAGAGCGAGCCCAACGCTCCCAGGGCTCCTCCTTTCCTCCTTTAAAACCAGCGCTATCGCCCGCAGAAACACTCAGCTCTGTTCAGCCCAAGGTGACTTTGGTGAGGCTGAAGGGCCTCTGTTAATTTAGAGTTTGCATCCTTGTTGTCTTTACGGGAACCCCGAAGAAAAGAGCACTGACGGTGGGTTCCTGCCATCAACCACAGCTGTCCCTGCAGGTCCCCAGCAGTGACACCGACACAGCCGCACCTGGGGCAGGGCCGGAGCGTCACCCCCGTCCTGGCACCGGCTCTGCCCCTTCCAGCAGCTCCCGCTTCCCTCTGCACCCCCTGCCAGGGAATTCCGGGCTCCCCGGGCACGTCCGACCCCTGCAGATTTAAAGCTGAACCCGCATCGAGAAGGGTCCGAACCCAAACCCAGCTCAAAGCCCGTCCCGGGGTACCTTGGCTGAGCTCTCCCCGCTCCGCTGGCACCGGTTCCGCTCCTGGATCTTCTCGGCGATGTCCTGGGCGAGCTGGCGAGTGGCATCGAGCAGGGAGAGCCTGGAGGGAGCGGGGGAGCGGCTGAGCCCGGGGGGACCGGGAGGGGCACCGGGAGGGGCACCGGGACCCGCCGGGACCGCCCGGGATCGGCCTGGGAAAGGGCCGGGAGGGGAAGGTAAAACACCCCAAACACACCCCGGGATGGGCTTTGGGAAAGGGCCGGGAGGGGAAGGTAAAACACCCCAAACACACCCCGGGATGGGCTTTGGGAAAAGGGCAGGCAGGGGAAGGTCCAGCCCCCCCGCACACACTCGGGCCCTGCCCGGCCCCGCTCCCACCGCCCGTGACGGGCCCCGGAGCCCCGGACAAGCCCCGAAGGGTCGGTCCCGCTCGGCCCCGCCCGGCCCCGCTCCAGCCCCGGCCCAGCTCACCAGGGCTCCGGAGCCATCGCGGCCCCAGAGCGGCCACAGTGGGAACGGGGATAAAGGGATACAGGGATACAGGGATACAGGAGCGAAGAGGTGCAGGGCTGCGGGGAACGGGAATGGGGTGCCCAGTGCCCGGTGCGGGGCCCGAGGGTGCAGCGGTGCTGGTTGTGCGGTACAAGGTGCAGAGGGGCTCAGTGGGGAGGCGCAGATGTGTGCGGGGTGGGTGCAGAGGTGGGTTTAGAGGGGCAGAAGTTTGGTGTTTAGAGGGGTAGAAGTTCAGGGTGCAGGTACAGGGGTGCAGATGTGCAGGTACAGAGGTGCAGAGGTGCTCAGTGCAGGTACAGATGTGTGTGGTACAAGGTGCCCGTGTGTGGTACAGGGTGCAGATGATCACAGCACAGAGCCATGCACTCGGTGCAGGTACTGAGGTGCAGATGTGCAGGTACAGGTACAGATGTGCTCAGTACAGGGTACAGATGTGCTCAGTACAGGTGCAGATCTGTGTGTACAGGGTGCAGATGTTCACACCACAGAGCCAATACCTCTCATCCCTGGCTCAGGCCTTTCCTTCCCTTGAGGACAGCTGCCAGTTCCCTTCGCCAGATCCTCAGCTCCATCCCCTTTCCCTGCCCATCTCCACATGACAGTGATTGTCCCTCCCTGCCCATGCTGATGTCCCTGTCCCCCTCATCCCCGTCCCCCTGGTCCCCGGTGACACTGCTGGTGTTGGCACAGTCCCTGTTTTGGCTGCCAAGGGCCCTGCAGTCACCTGGCAGTGGGCACAGCCCATCACTCCCACAGCAGCCTCTGTCCAAGCCCAGCGAGCCCTTCCCACCCTGGATCCACCAGGATTTGGCCTCTCCTCTTTGTTCCTGGGTGTGATTGGTGACGCAAATCAATGCAGGCACAAACCTGGGCCCGGTGCCTGAGGAGCAGCCACGAGACACTGACAGAGAGGCTTTATTGCCCTCGTGACACGGGGCTGCTGCTGCAATGACAACGATACTGATGACGATACTGATAACGATAATGACGATATTGATGATATTGATAGCGATAGTGATAACAATAATGATATTGATAACGATAATGATAACAGTGATAACAAGTGCATCCTCTTCAGCACGTTCCTGGGGGGCTGTGACCCCGCTGTGCTCCCAGAGAGTGCCCGACCCCACGGTGAAGCTCCTGGGGCTGGGGGAGATGTTGAACTCGGAGCCAGAGGAGCCCCCGTGCCCTGGGACCATCCCCTTCGAGCAAAGCTGCCCCGGGGCAGGTCTGGGGGGTGCTGAGCTCCCCCAGGCACCACCTCGGTTCCCTGGGCAGGGCTGGGGACGTGCTGGGGTGGGGAGCAGGGACACGCACCCCACTCCTGCCCTTGGGGGGCTGAGATCGCTGCGTTGGGCAGGACCCACATGCCAGCAGTGCCCCGGGCTCTGCGCTCCCCGCCGGCCCTGGCACCCCCCGGGGTGGGCTCCATCTCCCCTGTCACGGCTCTTCCCACATCCGGCTGCTCCCGCAGCTCTGGCCATCAAACATTCATGGCCTTCGGCTGCGCTGCTCCGCTGGAGACACACGGCCTCTGCATATTTAATTTTTTCACCATTAAAAACGCATGAAGCGCTGTTTCGTTTCGCCCTGTCCCTAATTCACTTCCATCTCCCACCTCCGGAGCGGCTGCCGGGAGCGGGCGGGGGAACTGCCGGAGGTTTCCGGGCTGCGTCGGGAGGGCAGGGAGAGGCATCCACCGTCCTGGAAAAGGCACACGAGGAGAAGGCGGCCAACAAGGTCCAGGGAAAGGCAGCAGGACCCACGAGCCTGGGCAAAAGGGTTTGATTTGGAGAGAGAATAAATAAAAAGGGGTTGAGTTGGAGAGAGAGGAACGATCCCTCGGCACTGGGACCCCCAGGAGCAGGGCTGGGGGCCATCACCTGCCCCTTTGGGTGCAGCCAGAGCTGCCCACTGGGTGCCCAGGCACGCTCTGGGTGCAGACTGGGAGCCTCCCACTGGGAGACCCCCTTGCCCTCCCTCCCTTTGCTGACACAGCCCCTCGTCCCCACTGCCTCGGGCTCCAGGCTCATCAGGAGCAGAGGGAGGAGAGGGATGCCAGGACAACCGTGCTGCTCCCAACAGATTTTGGCACACGGGGGAGAAGGTGCTTCATCCAGAAAGGAGAGGGGCTGCAGAGGGGCTGCACTTGCTCGGGAGATGCCCCAGGACCACCAGTGGATGCTCAGGGATGTGCTGCAGACAGACCTGCAGGTAGAGAGGCAGGGCAGGAACAACCTGCAGTTGCTCTTACCACGACAGCAAATATCAGGTTTTTAAAGGGAAATAAAAATCTGTATAAAAATGCACACGAAGTGCAGCCTGAGCTGTGAGTTCTCCAGCAGCAATGTCGGATCGCGGTGATGTGCTGGGAGCATCTCCCAGCTGTTGGAGAGGATTTTTCCTTCAACTGTGACCACAACGCAGGGTTTGTAGCTCTGCAAGGCGTTTTGAGGCTCAAAGTCAGTCGATAACAACCCTTTCCCGGGGGCAGGTTGGAAACGCTGCAGCACCACGGCTGTGCCTGCAGCAGTCGCGGTCTGAGCTCCCGCTGGGCGGGTGGAAGGGGCGGGGGGCTGTGGGGGGCACGGGCACATCGCCCCAAATTTGCCTGGTGGTTTTGGTGACCGGTGCTGAAGCCGCCCCGCACACACGGCCGGCACAGCCCCGAGGAGCGTCCCGAGGGCGGCACTGGCTCCTCGTGGTCCCGACCCCTCCTTGTCACCGCTCCTGGCACTTGCTGCTCACGTGCCGCTCTTCCCGGTCCCCCCCCGGACCATCCAGCGGGAAGCGGCTCCAAACCCACGCTCTGCCTTTCCCTCGTTCAAGGACGGGCGGCGGCCGCAGCCCCGGCCCCCCCTCCTGCCCCTGAACCCCGGAGCGGGAAGATGAAGGTTATCCGTGGGAAAAATAAAGGATTCGGTTTAGTGGCCGTGTTGCTGTTTGATGGTATCTCGTTCCGTGGGGTGTTTCCATCCCCGCCCGGCCTCGCTGCAGATTTGGGGCAGGAAGGGGCGACGCGGGCGCGGGAGCTGCTCCACCCCTCGCTCTGTTTACTCCAAATAAACCCCCGGTGCCCTCGCCTTAAAAGTCAGGGCAGGTGCCGGGGACAAAGGCGACCCGGCAGCGGTGGCCGCACCCGGGCGATGCTGCAGGTGGGGCTCAGCCTGCCCGGCTCCCCCGGAGGGGCGGCCGGGGCCTTCCCCAGGGCCGAGCGGGCCGGGGCCGAGGACACGGGCACCGGGCGAGGTGAGTGCGGGACGGCCCCGCTCGGGCCGGGGACACGTCCAGCAGAGCGGGGACAGAGGCTGGAGCAGAGGAGAGGGGCTGGAGCAGAGGAGAGGGGCTGGAGCAGAGGAGAGGGGCTGGAGCAGAGCCGCAGTTCCTCTCCCAAGGCCGGGGCTTGGCCCGGGGCGGGCAGAGCTGGAGCCACCAGCCAGCACCGGGGGCCGGGTGGGCTCGGGGTGATGCTCCTCAGGGCTCCGGACAGGGCACACGGCTGAGAGGAAGAGGTGAATTTGGGGACCGAGGGGGGCAAACAGCCCCTGCTTCAGCCCCGGTGTTGTTTCAGCCTGGTTTCTGTGGCCAGGAGCCTGCGCGACTGTGCTCGGGGTTGGGAGCTCCCTCCAGGGCAGGGAGTCAGGATGAGCAGCCACCGCAGCAAACTGCTGCCCCTTCCCTGAACCAGCACTGAACCCGATCTGCTGGTCCTCCTGACCTCGAGCAGGGGCCAAACTGAGCTGGAGAGCAAGAGCCAGAGCCGGACCCAGCCCAGGCGTCAGGACCCTCTCGATGTGCCACCATGTGCTGTCCCCCCGTGTCCCTTTGGGGCCAAAGCAGAGGTTTGGCTCGGTGCGAATCCATCCGCGACTCCCCAGGCACCTGAGCACATCGAGATAAATACACCCGAGAATTACGTGTGTTAATTGACTTTATCGCTGCCAATGAATCCCTGCCCAGCAGAGCTCACCCAGGCGGGACAGCTCCCGTCTCCCGTGCAGGGTTTGGAGCCGAGCTATCCCGCAGCCCCGGGGAAATGCCGCTGCCGTCTCTCTAGGAGGAGCTCAGGCTCTGCTCTTCCCGGAGCAGGGCTGGCGGCTGCCCGAGCCCTGCCCTGTGCTGTGTGCGGGAGCCTCCCCCGATGGGGACCTTCTGCCCCCGAGGGGCTTCTCAGGTGCTCCCCAGTCCCTGAGAGCGGTCCTCGATGGGGGTCTCTCCAGGTGCGTGGGGGCACACGGGGAACAGGGACCCTCTGCACCCCTCAGAGCAGCCCCGCACCCCCGGCGAGCCCCTGGCGCTGCAGCACCTTCTCCTCGCCCCTTCTCTCCGGCTCCCGAGCGGCCGGAGGGGTCGGGACACTTTGGCAGGAGGCAGCAGGAGGAGGGCAAACACCCGAGGGCGGCTTTGCTCCCTCTGCCTGGGCTCGGAGCAGCCTCGTCCTGGGTTGCCCGACCCGGACAGGACCCTCCTGCCCCGCGATGGCCTTGGGAGGGGACACGATGCCGATGGTCCCTCTCGGCCTCAGCATCGCTTGGGCTCTGTTACCCATGAGGTCCCTCCTCGCCCCTGCAGGGCTGGGCTGGGACTGAGCTGCTCGTCCTCCTCGGTGGTGTGACATGTCCCGTGGACATCCTGGGAACAGGGACTGTGTCCCTGCTCTCTGCATCTCCCTCTCAGCAGGTCACAGGCTGGGAAGTCAGGAGGTTTTTGAGGGGTACAAAGCCCCTCACGGTGGGAGAAGCAGCCCTGACACCCAGATGGGACCTGGCCCTGAGCTTCCCCAGGGTCCTGAGCCGAGGGGAGCAGGAGAGGGCAAGGCAAGCAGCTCCAGCCAGGCAAAGCCTGAAAACCTTCCCCTTGCAAGGGAGAATAAAGAAATACAGGACGTGGCTGTCAGACTTCAGAGCACCCTCAGCCGGGGTGAAACGCTGTTGGCTGGGGCAGTGGAGAGTGTTGAATAAAAGGTCTTTGTCCTACAGAGGCGTTTGGCTCATCCCCAGTCACCATCGTGGTCACGTCCGAGGCTGACACCTGGGACACCGACGCCTCCTCCTGTCCGGGCTGTGGACAGTTCGTGGACTGGGACAGGATGCCGGACCCGCAGCGGCCGGCACAGATCCCGCGGGACATCCTGAGCAAGCCCCGGAAGGAGCTGAAGAAGCTGGCGAGGGAAGGCTGCTGGGCCACGAGCCACGCCCTCAGGGCTCGGCTCTACCACCAGCTCACCCAGCAGGTCCCCTGCCGGCTCGTCACCCCGGACGCTCTGGTCTACAGGGACGTAGCGAGCCGGCTCTTCGGGAAGCCCAGCGGGAGCTCCCAGCCTTTGCCCGAGTTCCTGGAGGGATGCCCCATGCCCACGTACTGCCTCAACCTGGAAGGGGTCACCGCCCTGAAGAGGATCCTCATCTGTGTGGGCAACCTCTTCCCTGACATAACCTACAGCCCGATCCTGCCCTCCCTGGTGGCTCTGCTGCTGCACTACAGCGAGGACGAAGCTCAGTGCTTCGAGAGCATCTCTCGCCTCCTCGCCAGCAACGCTCCCCACACCAGCTACATCGACCAGTCCTTCCTGGCCCACCAGGCCTCCTGCATGACTTTTGGGGACCTGGCCAACAAGCACTGCCCAGCAGCTCACAAACTCATAGCCAGCGCCTCCGACAACGTCTTTGAGGTCTACTCGGAGTGGTTGTCGTGGCTCTTTCACGACCTGCCCTTCGCTTACGCCGTCCGTGTCCTGGACGTGTTCCTGCTGGAGGGGCAGAAGGTCCTGTACCGCATCGCCCTGGCCCTGCTGAAGCAGTTCAGGCTCTCGGGGAGCTGGGCCGAGCTGGAGGGCACTGACATCAAGGCAGACCTGCAGGCTTTTGTGCAGAACATTGCCGAGCACGTGACTGTCGACAAACTCCTGGAGAGAGCCTTTGGCATCCGGCTGTTCTCCCGCAAGGAAATCTGGCTGCTCCAGATGGCCAACAGGAAGGCATTAATGGAGAGGGGCATAACCATGGTGCAGAGCAGGTAAGGAGACCTCTCCCTTTGCC